TGAAATGAAATGAAATGAAATATGACTTTTTTCCACATCCTACAGTCATTCAGACTTACTTTGGCTCTACAGAATGTAATGTATGTATGTCAATGTAATTGATCTACAGGGCGAATAAAGCAAACAATAACATCAGGTTAGGCAGATTGGCGTGGTAGAATGCTGATGGAATGTTGAATTACGGATTGAAGAAGGAAGCGGTCCAGGTCTAATCGACATAATATATAACATTGTATTTTTCTTTGCATGCATTAGTTTTTTATATTTTAATTGTTATTTATTTTATGTAAGACAATCTTATGTAAATATCAATGTATTCTGCTGACAATGTCTATATGCAGTGGTCATGTACCTGAATGGATCGATGAATGCTAATAAAAATCAAATAAATATTGGCCTGTGCCTGGAAGGACTAATAAATTTCACAAAAAATCTCAGTAAGGGCAGTCGGTGTCCCGGGCGAGATTGGAACCGGAAACATTGCGAAAAAAAAAATAATAAAATGTAGGCTGGTGAGTTTCTTCCTACATGCATCATTGGAGCTTAATATCACCTGAATGCCCGAACTGATCATCATGAAACTTGGTATGATTTCAGTGCAACGTGAGCCCATCTCAATGGCGCACTTAAAAACCCTCTCATCAGTTACACCAACACTGCAGCCTCTCATATGCAGCCTCTCCTGTCCTACAACCATCCACACTTTCCCATGGTGCATCATGTTCTCAATGATTGGGCTCTGGAAACAATTTTACCACTTCACATATTTTAATATATTCAGGTTCTACAAAAATGAGGGTTATATTATTGTTTTATTTATTTATGCATTTATAATAAAGTTTTACCAACTTGTAAGAAAACCTATTTTATGAAAGGAAAGTAGGTGATTAGGTCTTCCCAGAACTCCTTGCACATTCTTATAGTGGAACCTTTGTAATGTCACAAAACATGGTGGCCAGAAGTCTGAACCCCCACAGCCAATTCACGTGTCCAGAGAATGGTTTATTAACCAATTATGCACTTTGCATCAAAATTTGATAGGAGTGCTGTTGTACTGAAATGAAATGCTCTTATTAACATTAAGGGGTACATCCTTCAATAAAACGAAAATTGTTCTTTCAAGGAAATCTGCATACTGAATTCCACCAACAGCTACCATGTGTGATCCTGTTGGGTAACTGTCCATGATTCTCACCAAAACATTGATGCCAAATCTTTGTTGAAGTAAGAGCATCAAGTAATATGAAGATTCTCTAGTTCCAGTTCATGTAGGCTGTGGTGGGCTGGTCAGTGGATCAGCATGTGTGACATCTACCACTTCCTCTTCATTTTGTACACTGTGTCTGCTGCCATGACTTTGTGATCTACAGTTGCATACACATCTCTTGTTTGGTCTGCAATCTGGATACTGACACTGATGTTCCTTTGATGAAGCTCTAGAATTTCCAACACAAAAGTTATACACAAAATGTATATTGGCTTACTCTGCAGCAGCAAATGGTACCATCATGTTTTACTGGTTACCACTACTTTACTGTAGCAAGTACTGTGAGCCATAAGCAATGGAATATTTGCTCCCTCTTGTGACATTATGAAGGCTCCACCACATGAACAGACAGAAATGAAGTAACCCATGAAATTAGAAAATGTGTTAACTTTGAAAGAGTGGTGAATCAGACAACTGTTTGTTTACAATTTCTGCTCCAAATTATATTCTGAAGAATCTCCAAGGTCTGGCCGTTGGACTTCTGATCACCCTGCTAAATAAAAGAAACAGTGAAAGTGGTATATGGAGCATGTATGAAGCAATATACAGGGTAATTTCTTGAAGGACTGCATTTTTCTTCATTACCATAAACATCTGTCATTTTAATATCACTGAAATTTAAAACAAGATATGAATTTGATGACTAGTAATCTTGATGAAGTTGCTTGTATAAGTGATAAAATAAAGTGTAATACAAACATATTACAGAACCTTTTTATTATTATTTCTTATTACTCACTACGTGACACATCAGCTGTTGGTATACTGATGCTGTGAATCTACTGGGTGATAATATAGATACCATAAAGAAAAACACACAAACTTTAATTGACACTAGTAAGGAGGTTGGTCAAGAAGTAAACACAGAGAAAACTAAGTATATGTTGCTCTCTCATCACAAAAATGCAGGGCAAAGTCGTGACATGGAGATAGTTAGCAGATGTTTCGAAAATGTGGCACAATTCAGATATTTGGGTAGGACGATAAAAAATCAAAAACTGATTCAGGATGAAAATAAGAGGAGTCTGAACTCAGGTAATGCTTGCTACCATTCGGTCCAGAACCGTTTGGCTTCTCATCTGCTGCCCAAAAACATAAAAATTAGAATATACAAAACTGTAATTTTGTCTGGTTCTGTATGAGCATGAAACTTGGTCTCTGACATTAAGGGAGGAACATAGACTGAGGGTGTTGAGAAGAATATTTGGACCAAAGAGAAATGAAGTGATGGGAGGTTGGAGAAAATTGCATAAGAAGAAGTTTCATAACTTGTACCATTCTCCAAGTATAACTAGAATGATCAAATCAAGGAGGATGAGTTGGGCAGGGCATGTAGCACGAATGAGGGGGAGAAGAATACATACAGGATATTGGTGGGAAAGCCAGAAGGAAAGAGACCACTGGGAAGACCAAGACATATGTGGGTGAACAATATTAAAATGGATCTTAGAGAGACAGGATGGGATGGATTGGATTGATGTGGCACAGGATAGGGACCAGTGGAGTGCTCTTGTGAACACGGTAATATCAGATTCCCCCAAAACAAACTAATGTACAACTTAAAATTATAATTTAACCTGGAGTGCTCTTTAGGAAAATGAAGGGTTAATATAAGAAGAGAGTGCAGTGACAAGTTGTATAAAAGAATTTGAACTAAATATTAAGAGCATAACTTCATACATTGAAAAATTCGACTATATTGTATAAATATTGTCTTTTTAAGATCACATCTTTATAAAATTAAGTCTGTTGAGTAATAAGAAATAAAATACAGAAAAGTTTTCTTAATATAAGGCTGTGTGGCAGTTTATTGCATAACTTGTAGGAAAACACAGACAGGATGCAATGCTATAAAAAGTAAATATATGTTGGAAAAAACAAATTAGATTAAATTAAATCAACTTTCTTATTTTATTACAAAATAACAGTTTACCCCATAAAAATTGCATAACAAATACATGTTTTTTCCCCATTTTCTTTTAACACTGTGCACTCCAGTGAGTGGCGTGCAGTTTTACACTTTCATTATTACACTCATTTATTTCTTCAGTAACAAACACATAAGAGAGTGCATTATGTTATTCCTTATAATACCACTAGAAGCTTCAACATTCAATGACAATAGTTATAATCTCGTCATATCATAAACACAGCATATGTATCATATTTAAATCCCACAGTGAAACACTAACAACCATAGAAAACAATTCCAAACAGACCTGTACTTGTTTTGAATGTCTTCAGAAAAAAAAATAGTCTGCTTCTTAAATGATGAATAGATAAAAATGGATAAGAGTGCAAAACCATTAACATGATATTTCATATTCCTGTAATATATTTTTTCACTTTTAAAATGTGGTGAGTCTCTATGGTCAACAAAATACCATACAAATAGATCCATATTCTCTACCTGGACACCAAATATTGCTTGGCAGCTTGCAGACAAGGAGACAAAATACTGGCTAGATTTTGGTTATGTAAATTTGTTTTGTAGTTATACTAAGTCTAGTCGTATGACAAAACTATAATTAAAGAAATATGTTTTTATATTATATAATATGGTTTAAAAAACTGCAAAATTTTGGAGTCCAATATATTTTACCAAATCTTTGGTAGTGTTTAAGCTAATTTTAAGACAAATTATGGACATTTATGAACATCCTGTTGCAATTCAGTACTGTGTGGCTTATAAGAAGACTTGAAGGTTTTTAAATAATATTTTATTTAAAAACTAAGGTCATAATTCTAAACAAAATAAAACTGTCCTGAAATCATTACCATCTTATGGAAATGCATCACAGAGCAGTAGGATAGCACAAAGTGCTAATGTTATTGGAGTGAAATACTTAATTAAAAGTGTAATATGAAAGCCTTCATGTAGTTAACTGTGTTATATTGGAGCAATATAGAAAACAAGACATATTTTCCAATATATGTCTGAAGCAAGTATTGCTACCACTCCACTGACATTTCTTTTCAAGCTTCATGGAAGTTTGACTATGTTACTAATGTAGGAACATCTGGAATGAAAAAGTTGCAGAAATGTTCCTATTAGCTTCGACATGTCTGTCCACATGTACCAACCAGAGAACCTAAACTTACATGAATGAAAGCTGATATTGTGGGGTAGTACTAAAGTAATCTGTGGACACATTCTCTTTCTTGTAAAACAGGAAAA